ATTGTGTTGGGCATCAAAAGGGCTTCCCTGGCAGCTCAGTGGTGAAGAACCAGCCTACCAATGCTGGAGACACGGATTCAATCCCTGGGTTGGGGAGGTCCCCTGGAGTAGGAAATGGCAATCCACTCCAGTATTCTTGCCTGGAGGATCCCATGAACAGAGGAGCCTGGCGGGCTCCAGTCCGTGGGGTCACAAAAGAGTTGGACATGACCCAGCAACTAAACTACAACAACAAGAAGAACAAGGCATTATAAGTAATCTAGAGATAGTTTCAAGTATACAGGAGGTTATGTGTAAGTTATATGTAAATACTATACCATTTTACATGAAGGGCTTGAGCATCCCCAGATTTGGGTATCCACAAGGAGCCTTGGAAACAATCCCTCCATTCCCCACCCCTCCAAAGTGCTGAGAGATAACTGTAGCATATGATAACATTTATATGTGGAGTCTAAAAAAGACAGGCTCAAAGAAACTATGAGTAGAGTAGTGGTTACTAGGAGTTTGATTAATGAAGAAATACTGATCAAAGGGTGCAACCTTTCAGTTATAAGTTAGCTAGTTTGGGGATATAGTGTATAGTATGGTGACCACATTGTACTGTGTCACAAGCGTGAATGTCCCTGAGAGAGGGGATTTTAAATGTTCTGGCCAGAAAAAAATAAATGTAAGTATGTGATGGGGTAAGAGGTGGTTACTAACATCATGTGGTCATCACTTTCTAAGTTACATATCTATTAAATCAATGTGTTGTACACCTTAAAGTGACAAAATGTTATGTGTCAATTATATCACAATAAGGCTGGGAATTTTAATTAAAAATTTTAAATGGTGCCCTTTGAAATATAGTTTGGCTGTTTCTTCTAATGTTAAACATACACCTATAATATGACCCAGCCATCCCACTCCAAGACCAATGAATACTTATATACAAATATCCACAGTAGCTTTATTTATAATAGGACAAAATTGAAAACAATCCACATGTTTTTCAACTGCAGAAGAAAATGTGGCTCATCATACTATGCAATATTACTTAGCAATAAAATACCAAAGTACTTAATAATGCAACATGAATGAATCATAAATGCATTGTTAGGTGAAAGATGCCAGATGATAGGGATCACTGTTTGGCAGGAGTTGGGATGAAAATGTTGTGATTATCAAGGGTGGCTGTGGTAGTGGTGGTTACACCACTCTAGACACTTCAAAACTTAGAACTGTACACCAGATAGAACAGTCTTTGCTTTTTATAAATTTGGTAAACTTGCATACTTGTTTAAGATGAGGCTGAGGGTATTAAGCACACATACTATTGGCATAAATATACTATGAAATGATATACAAAAAGTAAGAGAGTGAAAGTTGCTCAGATGTGTCCAACTGTTTGTGACCCCATGGACTATGCAGTCCATGGAATTCTCCAGGCCAGAATACTGGAGTGGGTAGCCTTTCCCTTCTCCATCGGATCGTCCCAACCCAGGGATTGAACTCAGGTCTCCCACATTGCAGGCAGATTCTTTACCAGCTGAGCCACAAGGGAAGCCCCATACAAAAAAGTAAAGCATTTACCTAAACATGAAAAAAACTGGGAAAATGAAGTACATGTGGAGAAGCAATGCTTCTCACTGAGCACCTTATTTTCTACATGAGTGAATGTATTCTCTGTCAAAAATATTACATTTAAAAAGTTAAGCATCACTCTTCAGAGTCTCATCTACTAAACCTTCAGGGGCTCTCTACTGATCTAATGCACTTTGGGTTGAGATACATCTTGAAAATTATTTCCTTGGGAGATGAGGCATGACCTTTGAAGCCAAGCTAACCAAACTTACCCCACTCCACCACTCATCAACTAACTGACCTTGAGCAAGTGAGTTAATCATTCCAATCTGAAAGACTGAGGTGAGGATGAAATCGGGGTTTAGACCAAAAGCATCAAGGTCTGTGGAGTCATCAAGTCTTATGTGTTGTATGAAAAGTGTTTAATACACCCACATCTTACATGAATGCATGTAAGATACTCCTGCTATAGAAATAAAATTTCTGCACCAAAGGTTATGTGATTAACAGTAACTCAGTAAGTAACTGATAATGATATCTCAGGTCATCAAGGTACATAAAGAGATTATTTTTTGCAAAGTGAAGACAAATTAAGTTGTTTTCTATCATACTGCCATTTATGAAAATAAAAAGTGCATTGAATACTTAACATTTAAAGATTTTAAAGATCTTCAAGATGATGATTGCACATTGTGGAGGGATGTTCATGACTCATCATTTAATGAAAAATCCAGATTAATGATATATTTATTATTTAAAGAAAAATCCAGATTAACAAGAAAAATACAAGATAAAATAGCATTTTTGTTGAGGTAAAACACATAAAATAAAATTTATTCAATTATAGGGCTTCCCTGATAGCTCAGTTGGTAAAAAATCCACCTGCAATGCAGGAGACCCTGGTTCAATTCCTAGGTTGGGAAGATCCACTGGAGAAGAGATACACGACCCACCCCAGTATTCTTGGGCTTCCTTTTGATAGTGCAGTTGGTAAAGAATCTGCCTTTACCAACTGGGAATTCCATGGACAGTATAGTCCATGTGGAATCCATTGTGGGGGGATGTTCATGATATATTGTTCAATGAAAAATCTAGATTAACAAGAAAAATGTAAGATAAAATAGCATTTTTTTTTGTTGAGGTTAAAGTCACATAAAATAAAATTTATTCAATTATAGAATTCATAACATTAAAAAGTGTTCGATTTCATGCATCCAGTACACTCACAGTGTTGTGCAACCACCACCTCTCCTCTATCTAGCTCCAAGTATTTCCATCACCTGAAAAGGAGACCTGTACCCATTAGCAGTCACCCTCTGTTTTGTCCTCCAGCCCCTAGATCTATCTCTATGGATTTGCCTATTTTGCACATTTCATATAAACGGAATCATACAATATGTGACCTTTTGTGTCCAGTTCCTTTCTTTTATCATAATGTTTTCAAAGTTCACTCATATTGAAGCATGTGTCACTGCTTCATTCTTTAAAAAAAAAAAAAAAACATTTGGCCATGCAACATGGTATGTGGGATCTCATAGTTCCCTAACCAGGGACTGAACCTGCACCTCTTGTATTGGAAGTGCAGAGTCTTAACCACTGGCCTGCAGGGAACTCCCTACTTCATTTCTTTTTATGACCCAATAAAACATTTTGTTCTGCTTCACTGACTATGCTAAAACCTTTGACTGTGTGGATCACCACCAACTGTGGAAAATTCTTAAAGAGGTGGGAGTACCAGGTCACCTCACCTGACTCCTGAGAATTCTGTTTGTGGGCTAAGAAGCAACAATTAGAACTGGACATGGAATAACGAACTGGTTCAAAATTGGGAAATTTAAAGTTAAAAAGTCAGAGCAGAGTGGCGCAGCGGAAGCGTGCTGGGCCCATAACCCAGAGGTCGATGGATCGAAACCATCCTCTGCTAAAGATTTTGTAAAGTCTTGAGTACGTGTGGCCTCTGAGAAAGTGTATTTCATAGGCTTCTCTGGTGGCTCAGTCAGTAAAGAATCTGCCTGTGATGTGTGAGACTCAGTTTCGATCCCTGGGTCAGGAAGATCCCTTGGAGAAGGGAATCTTCTACCCACTCCAGTAGTCTTACTAGGAGAATTCCACGGACAGAAGAGCCTTGTCAGCTACAGTTCATGGAGTCGCAAAGAGCTGGGTGCGACTGATACTTTCACTTTAAAATTTGGCAGTATATGTTAGAGAATATGAAGTGATTACTTTGGCATGTTTGGATTATGGATATGATGCTTATTTCTTACTTTTTCTTCACTGTGGTTTTTTCTATGACAAGGTATAATTTGGGGGAAAGGAAAAACTAATAAATATTTACTTATTTATCTGCCTGTTCTGGGTCTTGGTCACAGCATGCAGAATCTGTATTTACAGGATGCAAACTCTTAGTTGTGGCATGTGGAGTATAGTTCATGGACTAGATATTGAACCTGGGCTACCTGCATTGAGAGCACTGAATCTAAGCTATCGGACCACCAGGGCAGTTCCCCCCCCCCAACTTCTCTGTTTTGTTTTTAAAGAAAAACATTTTAATAAGAACTCTGAAGGCAAAGAAGAACATATGCAGTTTTCAGCATAGAATACATGAAATATTTACTAATTTTATGATATAGGATTTATTTCTTATTATTCAACCATTAAGTCTTCTGACCCCAGCTTGTAGAACCCCAAAAGGGCCTGATACTAAGACCATCCCAGGACCCCCTGCCACCTCAGTGGGGCTAGTCCTGGAGCAGCTGCTGTCCCAGGTGCTGAAGGAAGTGGCCCCACTCCTGCCCCTCCACCTTCTCTCACTATTGAGGACTCTCTTCACCTCCGCTTCCTAGAACATCCTGATGAAAATGAAGTCGTGGGTCATGCTTCTCTGAGGGAAAATTTTTCTTTTTCCTAGCTTCAGGTCTGTTTCACAGCAGAGCAGCCTGTAACTGTGTAACAGATCTAACTATGGAAAATTTGAATTTGCTGAATCTTCTAACGGCAGGTTTCTTCAACAGCAGGTTTCCGCGTGTCTCCAAACTTCAGTGTAACTTTTATGACTTTAAAGCATTTTAAATGTGCTTTAAAGTGATGCAAAAATAAGTGTGGAAATGAACGCACATTCAGTAGGGATGCTTACCAGATACTGAGTCAGTCATTTTGCACAAGCTTTTCATAAATCTCCACAACATCGCAATAAGGTGGCTACTATTATGTAATAAAGGCACTGAGGCTTAGAGAGAGATTTTCCCCAACCCAGCCAAATAGCTAAAAATGGCAAACGTTTGTAAGGAGGGAGTGGTGGATCCAGGGTCATCTGACCCTGACTGCATCTAGCTCTCTGCTTCACCTTCCTTAAAAAGTCATGTTGTCCTCATGATCCAAGATGGAGCTCCAGTATCATAACAAAATTTGCCCCCATTCCCCAAGGCCCCAAGGACCCCCTGCTGGCTCTCAGTGAGGTTTTGGGACAGACGTAGGCTCCCAGATCAGGATCCCATGCCCCTTGCAGTGGAAGCACAAACTCTTAACCACTGCACCGCCAGCGAAGTCCCAGATTTATTCCTGGGAATCTGCAGTGGGGTGTCTATGGTTACGGGCGGATCTCAGGCCAGAAGGTGGGTGCGTCATTGGTGTCCGGGGCTCAGCGGCTCCATCCGCAGCCAAAGTCCGCCCTCCGCGCGCAGGATCAGCTCTGGCTTCCGGCGAGGCTCCTCCTCATCTGGCAGGACGCGGAAGCGCAGTAGCGTGAGCGCCAGGACCACTTTCATCTAGGTCATGGCGAATGTCTGCCCGATGCAGTTCCTGTGGGCGGGAGAGGGGGCTCTGACTGCACCTGGAACCCTCATCTGGGCTCCGCAGCACCCGGCCCACAACTTACACGCACAGTGGTAGAGAAGGAAGCTAACCATGTCAGGAACCCCCGCGTGGGCTTGCATATGCCCAGACCCTTGCCCACACTCCAGTCCTGCACTCAGACCAGAACACAGGGGAACTGGCCTCTCAGCACACTGTGGACCCTTCCTTGTGCCCCCCACCATTCCCTAGGCCCTTGCCATTATGTCTGGGGGAGGGGAGGGAAACACAGCCTTAAATTTCCCGTCTTCCTGATCCCTACAGTTAAACCTGGAATCTCAGTCCCAGACCCCCGCCCCCACTACTCCATCTTCACCTCAAATGTCCAATGTCCTCACCTGGGGCCCGCTGAGAAGGGGATAAAAGCCAGAGGTGACCTCCCCTTGATGTTTTCTGGCTCGAAGCGGAAGGGGTCATAGACCTGGGGTCAAGACAAGACAGGGTTACCAGGTGGTATCTCCCAGAAAGTCCATTCTTAGAGAGGCAGATGTGTGTATAATGGGAGGGAGGTGATGTCTGATTGGGCAATCAGAATTCTGTAGTCGCCCTTGGGTCCGCCAAAGGGAATGGACAGGGATGATGGCAGTATGGCGTCGCAGAGGCATCACCTCAGGGTCTGGCCACACAGATGGGTTGTGGTGGGTCCCGAAAATACTGATGAGGCAGATAACACCTGTGGGAGAGGAGGGACCAGTTAGAATTAGGTTCAACCTGCCTGATGGGCCCCCTTTCTGACCAGGAACCTCATCCCACAGTCATGGTGAGCACCTTTGGGGATGACCCGGCCGTCTGGAAGCATGATGTCCTGGGTACAGCAGCGAGAGATGACGATGACTGGGGGGTGCAACCGCAGACTCTCCTTGATGCACATGGTCAGGAAGGGCAACTGAGCCAGGTCGTCCCTAAGGAAACCCCATGACAATTATCCAGGGAGCAAAAATAGACATACCAGCCTCCAGCACTCCTACTGCCCTGTAAGATCCCTTTTGTCTATGACATAATCACAGATGGATCATTTTCGGCAGATAGTGGTTTTATACTTAGAAAATGAGAGAGTTCACTGGAAAAAGTGAAAGTGAGAGTCACGTCTGACTCTTTGTATTCTCCAGGCCAGAATACTGGAGTGGGTAGCCTTTCCCTTCTCCAGGGGATCTTCCCAACCCAGGGATCGAACCCAGGTCTCCCGCATTGTAGACGGATTCTTTACCAGCTGAGCCACAAGGGAAGACCAAGAATACTAGAGTGGGTAGCCTATCCCTTCTCCGGAGAATTGTCCCAACCCAGGAATCAAACTGGGGTCACCTACATTGCAGGCAGATTCTTTACCAACTGAACTATCAGGGAAGCAACACACTGGAAAACTGGTACAAATACTGAATATAAGACCCAGTAATGGGACTGAATTCTTTTTATCCTCTTAATTTTGTGTGGTGATTTAAATTCTTAATAGCTGATATAGTTGGCTAGTTCCAAATCAGAAAACCACAAAACCACCACCCCATGTCTCAGTATCACTCCTTTCCCTTCCTCACAGTTTGACTAGTGGTTATTCTTTATGTGTCCTTCCAGGAGTACCTTTTTGCATTAATAATCACGCAGTATCATGCTGTATACAATACACATTGCTCTGTATCTTTTTCACGTAACAGTGTGTCAAGCTCTTCTTGTACATCTCTTGGGACTTGTGTCCAAAATAAGGCCTTTCCTACTCTGGAGCTATAAAATAATTTCCCTGGTTTCCTCTAGAGCCTTTAAGACTCCTTTATTTTATTATTTTCTGAAAAAATTATTTGTTTGGTTGCAGCAGGGCTTAGTTGCATCAGATCTTTGTTGTGTCAGGCAGGATCTTTCACTGGGTCCACGAACTCTGTTTAGCTGCGTGTGGGCTTAGCTGCTATTGCACACATGGGATCTTAGTTCCCCAACCAGGGATCAAACCTAAGTCTCCTGCATTGCAAGGTGAATTCTTAACCACTGGACCACTAGGGATGTCCCAAGGCTCTTTTACTTTTTATTTTAAATCTTTGATTAGTGTATATGTTATTTTCTTATAAGACATAAGACCATGTTGAATTAACCTTTTTCCATGTAGCTCTCCAGTTGTTACAAGAGTTTTTAGTATAAATGATCTTTCTTTGTCCTGTTGGTATGAGACCATATCTAGAACTTACTATGTTCACTGGGCAAGAAATTTATACCAATAAATTATTAGTTTTTCTTTAGAAATAATATAATAGATGAAAGAAAAGATGGTGATGATATAAAATATCTGGAAGACATGTGAATGTCTATATTCCAAATGAACTTATGTTTCTTAATCCAGATAGACTATATGATTCACCATAGGAACAAGAGGTACCTAAGGGTTTGTTTAGCAAAAGCTGCCTTAGATTTCTATGCTAAAATTTTAGACTCTATTAAAAGCCTAAAGATTATGTGAATATCTAAAAATGGATATCCATTCCATACTCTGGAATAGCATGTTAATATTGTTAAGTAATCTGTTTTCCACAATATCTGTTTTCCTATCATATCAAACCCCAGCCTGGTGCATGCACACTGGGAATATCCTGACCTGGGACTATTCTTCCACCAGGCTGGGAGATCCTGGAAGGCAAAGACTGGGGTTGGTCCTTCCTGAGTCCAGGACACACAATGAGGTGGGGAGAATTGGAGATGGCATAGAACTGGGGAGAGGGAGGCAGTTTTGCAGTGTTTCCTAAATGGGGAATAGATGGAAGAAGATGCAGATATTCCTGGAAAGGAGTTGAATGACTTTAGTCCTCAGGTGTTCCTTTTAAATCCTGGACTAAATAATATGAGGAATTAGAATATGAGGAAATAGAATGAAGATTTTTGAAAACATATGACTTCAGAGAGAGAAGTAAAGAAGTGGAGGGAAAGTTCATTTACTGAATAGGTGCTCACTGGTATCACCTGCCCTCACAAATTGTTGCTAGTTAATGCAGGACTTCCTATCCTCCAAACCTGAAAACTTTTCCCAGACCCTGTCTCTGGGATCTTCTCACATTCCCACTAAGAAATAAGGACAGAACCCACAAGAATATTTTCACTCTTCCCAAACCAGGAAGCAGGGGCTCAGAAAAAGGCCACAAAGACTTGCACTCACCATTCAATCTCTTTAGATTCACGGTCCTTCAGGAGCTCTCGCACCTCCTGCCGGCAGCGCTCCTGGTATTCTGGGTGTTTTGCAAGGTTGTACAGGACCCAGGAGAGGCCACTGGCTGTGGTGTCATGGCCTGAGGAGCATCCAGAGAGGCTTGGGTCTCTGGCCTACTTCAGCACTACAATGTGGACAGCACCCTCACCTTAGCCCATGGGGGGATGGGGAGGGATGGCATGATCCAGGGTCCACTTGCCAAGTTCCTGTGTTGGGGGAGAGGCCCATCCCCCTGTGTAATTCCACACTGGGACCCTCACCTTCAAACATGAAGGTGTCAGCTTCAGCTCGGATGTCTTCGTCTGATAATCCCTTCCCATCTTCATCCTGGAGAGAAAGCAAGATTCCCAGATTCACACAAGTTCTGAGGGCCACTGAGCATAAACTGAGACAATCTCTGAAGCTCCATCATCCATCTAGAAACCCAAGCTCAACCTGAAGTCCTAGACCTCCTTTGCTCAGTACCACCAGATGCCCCACCCACAGACCTCCTCCTTGAACTCTTTGCCTCCTATGGCATCCATGGTAAAAGGAATCAATGATTCATAAATATTTTCATGTTTCTACATGATGTAACCTGGGTTACAGGATGACTGATGACAAGTTTACCTTAGAAGTAGAGATTAAAACCCATTCTTAATGCCTCCTGGAGATAAGGAATGGGTTGTACACCTGTAGAACATGCAAACTTTGCCTTCTCAGTGAAGAGTTCTGTTTAAGCTCCAAAACAACTTCTTCTCATCTCTGCTGTATTCTTGTCCATTCTTCTCTCCTCTCCACTATTTTCCCTTCCCCTCCACTCCCCTCCCTTCCCTTCCCTCCTCTCTCTTTCTCCTTCTCCCTTCCCTCCTCAAACACAGGGAAAAAGGAGAAGTCCTGTGTATGTCCCAAATTTCAAAAACTGGAGGTAAAACCACTACAATATTGTAAAGTAATTAGCTTCCAATTAAAATAAATAAATTGGGGGGGGGCGGTCCTAAGATGGCAGATGAATAGGACAGGGAGACCACTTTCTCCCCCACAAATTCATGAAAAGATCATTTGAATGCTGAGAAAATCCTCCAACAGCTTCTGAATGCTGGTGGAGGACATCAGGCACCCAGAAAGGCACCCATTTGCTTTGAAAGGAGGTAGGACAAAATATAAAAGACAAAAAGAGAGACAAAAGAGTTAAGGACGGAGACCTATGCCAGGGTGGGAGTCATGAAGGAGGAGAAGTTTCTAAACACCAGGAAACCCTCTCACCGGCAGGCCTGTGGGGAGTTTTGGAATCTCAGAGGGCGACATAACCAGGAGGGGAAAAAAAAGCAACCCACAGAATACACGCCTAACCACAACTCCCAGCAGAGAAGTAGCCCGGATGCTTGTGTCCGCCAGAAGTGAGGGGGTGCTGAACAGGGAGGCGTGGGTTGCATGCTTAGGGTAAGGACTGGGCCTGAATGCCCTGAGGGCAATCTGAGGGAGCTAACATGAGAAAGCAAACCAAATTGTGGGTTAACCAGAGACAGAGAGAGAGAGAGAAAAGAAAGAGAGAGAGAGAGAGAGAGAGAGAGAGAGAGAGAGAGAGAGAGATTTCCCGCAAAAAGCTCTAACCTAAGGCACAGTCTGGTCCACTCACAGAACAAAGGATTGAGCTAATACCAGAGGAGAGCTAGCTGGTTGCACACGTGCCCCTTCCCCCGCCAGAGGCAGAGAGGCAGGCAGGCAACAGCCAGAGCCAGAAGGCAAGGGGCAATCTTGGCTCGAGAGATGCATCCTCCACCAAATTGTGAGCAGGCTCCCAGTTGCCAACCAAGTCTTCCTGGGATCCTGGATGGTGGACATTTGCCAGGAGGGTCACAGCCTGAGATCAGCTCCACAGAAGAGACACACAGCACACCTGAGACAGGGCTCTCTTTGCACACACAGGAAACTGAGCAGCTAAGACTGGGGAGGTGATGAGACACTGCACACCTGGGACAGGGCGCTCACCAAGCACCTGGTTGTCTGAGCTGTTCGGACATAGGAATGGCACAAAACGCTGGCCCAACCAAGTTTGTACCTTGGTGGAGTACCCGAGAACCTGAACCTGAGCGGCTTAGACCTGGGAAGTGCATGCAACCCAGGGCCTGCTTTGGACAATTCTGCTGCAGAGCAACCTGGAGCCCAAGCAGTGTAGACTGGGAAAGCACACACGCCGTGAGTGGGGCAAACCCAGTGTGGCCCAGACACTTCAAGTGCTCCCCACACATGACAGTGATATTTGTTTCCAGTGTTCCTCCCTCCCCAAAGAGCGACTGAACAAGTGAGCCTACATAAGTGACCACCTTCACCCCCCATGTGTCAGGGCGGAAATTAGACACTGAAGAGACTTGCAAACAGAGGAAGCCAAAATAAACAAAGAGGGAGACATGCTGGAAGTGACAGGTGCAACAGATTAAAACCCCGTAGTTAGCATTGACCAAGCATTGGAAGGGGCCTATGGACCTCGAGAAGTATAAGCTGGAACAAGGAACTATCTGGAACTGAAATGACCCCACAATGCCCTCAACAGCTCCAGAGGAATTCCTAGATAATTTTCACTATTATCATTTTTAAATTTTTAAGTTCTTTATTACTCCTTTAGTTTTCCTTTTTATAACCTACTGTTACCTTGCAAAAAAAGACCCTGTTTTTAAAGCAAATTTCATATATATATTTTATAATTTTTGTGATTTTTTAAATATTGTATTTTTTAGAGTCTAACTTCTACACTAGATTTTTAATCTTTGCTTTTTGGTATTTGTTAACAATTTTGTACCTTTAAGAATCTAATCTTCAGTACCCATTTTAACTTAGGAGTGTGATTACTGGCTTGATTGCTGTCTTCCCTTTTGACTCTCCTTCCTCTCCCCCAGGTCACCTCTATCTCCTCTGTCCCCCTTCTCTTCTCTACCTGAATCTGTGAATCTCTGTGGGTGTTCTGGGCCATGGAGGCTGATTAGGGAACTGATTACTGGCTAGATCTGTCTCTTTCCTTTTGACTCCCCCTCTTCTCCTCCTGGTCACCTCTATATCCTTCTTCCCTCTTCTCTATGTAACTGTGAACTTCTCTGGTGTCCCTCACGGTGGAGAATCTTTTCACCATTAACCTAGATGTTTTATCATTGGTGCTGTATGGATGAAGAAATCTTGAGGTTACTGTAAGAATAAGACTGAAAGCCAGAGGCAGGAGGCATAAATCCCAAACCTGAGAACACTGGAAAACTCCTGATTCCAGGGAACATTAACTGACAAGAGCTCATCCCAAAGCCTCCATACCTACACTGAAACCAAGCTCCACCCAAGAGCCAACAAGTTTCAGGGCAAGACATACCAAGCCAATTCTCCAACAACGCAGGAACATAACCCTGAGCAATAAAGTACAGGCGGCCAAAAGTCACACCAAACCCATAGACATCTCAAAACTCACTACTGGACACTTCATTGCACTCCCGAGAGAAGAGATCCAGCTCCACCCACCAGAACACCGACACAAGCTCCCCTAAGCAGGAAACCTTGACAAGGCACTCATTCAACCCCACCCACAGGGAGGAACCTCCACAATAAAGAGGAATCACAAACTTCCAGCATACAGAAAGGCCACCCCAAACACAGCAATATAAACAAGATGAAAAGGCAGAGGAATATTCAGCAGGTTAAGGAACATGATAAATGCCCACCAAACCAAACAAAAGAGGAGGAGATAGGGAGTCTACCTGAAAAAACAATTCAGAATAATGACAGTAAAAATGATCCAAAACCTTGAAAACAAAATGGAGTTACAGATAAATAGTTTGGAGACAAGGATTGAGAAGATGCAAGAAAAGCTTAAAAAGGACCTAGAAGAAATAAAAGAGTCAATCATATAGGGTTATCATTACCATCTTTCTAAATTCCATATATATGTGTTAGTACACTGTATTGGTCTTTATCTCTCTGGCTTACTTCACTCTGTATAATGGGCTCCAGTTTCATCCATCTCATTAGAACTGATTCAAATGAATTCTTTCTAATGTCTGAGTAATATTCCACTAAAATACTGTAAAGTAATTAGCCTCCAACTAATAAAAATAAACGGGGAAAAAAAGAGTCAATCAATCATGAATAATGCAATAACTGAGATCAAAAGCACTCTGGAGGGAACCAACAGTAGAATAACTGAGGAAGAAGATAGGATAAGTGAAGTGGAAGATAGAATGGTGGAAATAAATGAAGCAGAGAGGAAAACAGAAAAAAGAATTTAAAGAAATGAGGACAAACTCAGAGACCTCTGGGACAATGTTAAATGTCTCAACATTCGAGTCACAGGAGTCCCAGAAAACAAGACAAAAAGAAAGGCCATGAGAAAATACCTAAGGAGATAATAGCTGAAAACTTCCCTAAAATGGGGAAGGAAACAGTTACCCAAATCCAAGAAATGCAGAGGGTCCCAAACAGGATAAACCCAAGGCAAAACACCCCAAGACACATATTAATCAAATTAACAAAGATCAAACACAAAGAACAAATATTAAAAGCAGCAAGGGAGAAACAACAAATAACACACAAAGGGATTCCCATAAGGATAACAGCTGATCTATCAATAGAAACCCTTCAGGCCAGAAGGGAATGGCAGGACATACTTAAAGTAATGAAAGAGAATAACCTACAACC